CACGGCCCCCGCCTGGAATGGGGCACCTGTGAAGAGGGGGGCGTCCACCGGGCCCCCATCGGGCGGTGGCGGTGTCGGCAGGCTCCGCCAGCGGCGCTCTCACGGCGGCCGGGAGCGCAGGAGCAAAGGACCGCGCCGGCGGCGTTGATGATAGCAGCGCCACTGCCGCTGCCGCATTGGCCATTGCCCTCGCTCGCTCCTGGCAATAGCGCGCCTTTAGGGCTTTTCTTCTCCTCCCCTCGGTGAGGCGGGCCTCCTCGACCGCGCGTGCCGTGGCAGCCTCCCGCGCAGACGCTTCTTGTCGGCGCTCCCGGTGACGGCGCTGCCGCTTCCTCTCTTCACCCTCGCTCGCCGGCAAGGTCGCCGCTTCCACCCCCGGGTCGACCGTCGCCTCTCCATCGCTGGTCGCTAGCCGCGGCGGTGGGGATGGCGGCGCCCGTCGGCCACTGTCAGCGGGCGATGGGAAACAGGCGGCACCCTCTGGGGTGTCAGCAGCCATCTTGTCAACGGGGCCCTCGTCGGCCGTCACTCCCGGTATGGGGACGGCGTCTCCCTCGGCCGCCGAGAGCACGGTAGGGGCAAGGAGGGCCGCCAACCCTTTACGCCTTGGTGTGGCGACCGCCTCTTCTTTCCTTATCGAAGCGCCACCCTCAGCAACCACCTTACTTGCCCACGCCAATACGGCGGGCGAGGGGTGGGCCGCCTGGGCGGGGCGCGGTGTGGGTTCGTAGTCCGGCAGCCGAGGACGGGGTCTAGGGGTGGGCAGCCCCTCTTCTTCGGCTCTGCTGCTGTCACGGCTGCTGCCATCGCTGCTCGACGTCCACACGTATCTCCCCTTCAAATCTTCTACCATCTCTCTTATCATTATCTCTCTGTTTTGTTTTTCTTTTTACTTCTGTTCGGCCTGTCTTTCCTCTATGGGTGTCTGCACGCGTTTAAGAAGTTTGCCTCCCTGCCTCTCCTTTTTATACGCTGGGCGAGCCACCACTGTCACCAGTCTGCCGTCATCACCCATTGTATTGCGCCACGCGGGTTTCGCACGCCCTAGATTCACTTTTAGCCGTGGGATTCTTTTACTGTTCTCATTCTGATCGTCCTAGTTTCTCTCCCCGAGGTAGCAGACTCCCCGTTTTTGGCAGGCCGGTAGGTCTCCTCGCCGTCGGCCGTCCTTTAAGCGGCGCTACCGTCGCCCCTGCGAATTTATATTTTCTCTTTGTGGTAGACGGCTAGGTCTCCCGCGATGTATTGGCCCTCCGATTTACGTCGCCGTCCGACGTCGGCCAGTCACTATACGGCAACCGCCGTCGGCCGACCTTTCAGCGGCGCTACCGTCGCCCCTGCGAATTTCTTTTTCCTCCCTGTGGTCGGCGGCTAGGTCTCCCCGCGACGTATCAGCCCTCCGATTTACGTCGCCGTCCGACGTTGGCCGGTCACTATACGGCGACCGCCGTCGGCCGACCTTTCAGCGGCGCTACCGTCGCCCCTGCGAATTTCTCTTTCCTCCCTGTGGTAGGCGGCTAGATCTCCCCACGACGTATCGGCCCTCCGATTTACGTCGCCGTCCGACGTCGGCCGGTCACTATACGGCGACCGCCGTCGGCCGACCTTTCAGCGGCACTACCGTTGCTCCTGCGAATTTTTCTTTTTTCCTTGTGGTAGGTGGCTAGGTCTTCCCGCTACGTATCGGCCCTCCGATTTACGTCGCCGTCCGACGTCGGCCGGTTACTATACGGCGACCGCCGTCGGCCGACCTTTCAGCGGCGCTACCGTCGCCACTGCGAATTTCTCTTTCCTCCCTGTGGTATTCGCGTCCCTCGGCGGGGCATGACGCCAGCGGTGCGGCACTCTCGACCTTGGCAATAGCGATGGCTGTCCGTCAACTTCCTTCCTGCGGTATTAGGGATTATGCTGTTCCTCGGTGCAAGGGGGAGTGGTCGAGCATAGTGCGTCATGGATGACTTCGGGTGTGCATATCGTACCTCTCCAGCAGAGGGTGTGACCCCTCCCCTGAGGCGATCTCTCAATTTCTGGCTGGAAGACACGTCAGCCTCCACATCCTCCCACGTGAGTCTCCTCGCCTTCTCCCCCTTGCCCGGCCACCGAATTTCCTCGCCGATAACACCGACGCTCCGTCCGCCGAACTAGCGGATGATTAAGTCATCTCCTAGATAAAAACTCGACGGATGTGTATTCCCGGCCGTCGCTGTCTTGGTCCCCCGCCGTCTTCTCCCCGCGTCGTCACGCCTCCACGTTTTGAGGTAGGAGAATCGTTTTACCGTAGCCGCCCACACCTACATCTCCGCGTGAAGCCGAGATATTTCGATGGGCGCACTACATGCTGGGAGCGCGTTCTGCGTCCCGGCTCCATCAAGGCGATGCCCCGCCGGCGGTAGGAAGCTTCTAGTTCCCCCGCCGGTCGTCGCCGTCATCTGGGATGCGGCTCTTTCCATACTCCAGTTTCTTCTCCGCTGCCGGCGATCTCACCCCCGCGGTGATTGCCGTCTTCTCTGTCGGCGGCGATCT